AAAAAAAGCCCTAATGCCCCTATAATTATCCTGAAAAAACAAAGGGGCAAAAAAAAAAAAAAAAAAAAAAAAAAAAATCAGTGGCATTAAATTTACACAGCAAAATTTATTAGGATCTATAAAGTAGTATATAATCCTTCTTTGGGTTAAATTAAAATGTAACCAATTTCCAAAGTTATTCTTTACATTTATAATAAATACTGGTTCATTTATTTATAAATCAAAACAGAATTGGCCAGCCACATTACATATTTTACAATATAACCACCTAAAAATTTCCTGTGTGAATTGCTGTAAAAGTACAAAGACAGGATTCAGAGTCAACAGATTGAGTATTAGTAATTTTTTTTTATTGTTACACAGTTGATTGTATACATCTGTGGTGAGTATTAGTATTTTAGAAAGAAATTCCTTTTTCTGGTCATTATTATATAATGCAACCATCTCACCAGAGTAATGTGAGGAATAAAAGGAATAAATGGGAGAGTGCATGTAGTTTACAAATAAGCACTATACAAATGAGGGTTGATATTTCTTAGGTTATATCTCCATGCCTTGAACAACATCACTGTCTCGGTTTCATAGGGGAACTAAACAAGTAATCACTGTAAAACTGTTCTGCAGGATCTGAAGTAGTCATACCAATGTAAAGAATCAACATCTTAAGCCTTTCTGCACAATTCCAATGATATTATACTATTATGAAAAGGACACATACTAATCATAAGTAAACTGATCATAGTCTTTATCTATGTTGACTGTTTCATCACAGGAACATAAATGAAATTTTGGCTTTTCATTTTTCTTAAATGAAATGTGAAGATAATATATGGGCAACAGGAGCTTGAAAAATCTTCCGGAAGTTTTTGATGTATTTTTAAAATTATAATGTTAATAGCAAATTCTTACAAAGCTATTTTATGATTATATCATAGCAAGCAACAATTTACTGGGATGAAGAAGATATGCTAAAAGCCAAGTGAATTACTATAATTTAATATATACAGCTTATTGACATTTTTCTTTAAGCAAAAAGAGTGGGGTACATCCACTGAAGTCTAGGCATTCTGACATCACCTCTATTACCAACTGGAATCTAATTTTTAAAATTTCCGTGATCTTGAAGGTCTTATCAAAGTTTTAGAGTGCATTTGTTTTTCTTTTAGCCACCAGATTTTTCAGGAAAAATTCACCTATTTAGAAAGAATGAAAACAAATTAATATCAATTTAAAGTAAATAACTGTAAGACTACTATTTCAGAATAATACTTTGGTGTTTCCCTTTTAAAGAAGACTTTTATATTTATTGGCATTTCTCTCTTCTCAAATCTCAGCAGCAGTATTTTTTGTTTTTTGTTTTTTTTAATAAGATGACCGGTAAGAGGATCCCAATGCTTGACTCGGTGTTGTCAGCACCACGCTCTCCCAAGTGAGCCAACCGGCCATCCCTATATAGGGATCCGAACCTGTGGCCTTGGTGTCATCAGCACCACACTCTCCCAAGTGAGCCAAGGGCCGGCCCTAACAGCAGTATTTTCTTTCTTTTTTTTTTTTTGTCTTTTTTCGTGACCGGCAACGGATCGCAACCCTCAGTGTCACCCCCGTACCGGACCAGGACCGGCAACAGGACCGCAACCCTCGGTGTTGCCCCCACACCTCGCTCAGCCAGTGAGCGGCTGGTCTGTATGTGGGATCCGAACCCTCGGCGGGAGCGCCGCCGCGCTTCCCAAGCGGCGCACTGTAGCAGTGCACCACCAGGCCGGCCCTAACAGCAGTATTTTCCTAATCTAACTATCTCCTATATCTGGTCTTTTCCCCAACAATAATGATGAGTCATTGTTCTTTTTTAAAAAAATTTTATCACTACAGTCTCTATGATTATTCTTTCTAGTAACCCAGTATTACAAAGGGTGACCTCATTGTATGTATGGGTCTGCTTCTGTACATTTATTCCACTTTATGTGCACCATCTATTCCTCATTGCTGACAAAGTATTGCTGTTGGCAAAATTCATTTCAGAGAGCAATTGTGCTACATTATTAGCCTGGATCTGATGTTCATAAAACAGACCTTGTTGCAGTTGAGCAGACTCATCTGATGGAATCTCTTTAGCTTATTCCCCTCTAGGGAAGCAAGAGTTCTTCATTTGTAATGGGCTTTTTCCCCACCCTGAGTTATGCCTGCACCATAAATTAGCTGCTTACAGGGGAACACTCACTTTTCAGGCCATTAGGGTCTCATTTAGTCTGTCACTGTTACAGCATGGCTCAATTTTATTGATAGATTTTGGCACTGGAGGCCCGATTTTATGAGGGGTCTGATTAACTTTTCTTTGGTATCTTACATATATGAGTAGAACTGTGATGATCATATCCGTACACAATCACCAAGAATACCAAGGCTCCTAACACAGCTAAGTAATCTGTGATGCTCTATATCTCATCTAAATCTGGTAGGAGTAGAACCAACATTATCAGACCCTAATCCATCCTCTAAGTCTAATGCTCCAAGTACCAGAATTCAATCTTTTACTGGTAATTTAAAAAGTATTAAAAAGCATTAATAACTCACTCCTTTATAAAGGTTAGAAATTTCCACCCCCCCAAAATAAAATAACTCCTTTCAAATGATTTTACTCTACTTTACCCACTCTAGAAGCAGACATTGATTCTATGCTTTATATATATTTTTAGCTTCCCAGTAGTACTGCTTGAAAACTAAATCACTTACAACTACTGGTTTTCAAAGTCCCCACATCCTGTCAGTCAGTGTTAAATTCTTGGATTTTGTAACTAGGATAAGCTGTTAGTTCATTAAAATTCCTTACACTGCTTTATAGAAACACATTGAATATTACTAATACTTGAACATTAATTTTTTCAAATAGAATTTATGCCTAATTTAAAATATATCTATGACTTAGACCCCAATATATAAAGCAATCATTTAAAAGATCACTAATAGTAATAATATTTTATTTTTTTAATGGCTGGCCAGTACAGGGACTAAATCCTGGACCTTGGTGTTATGAGCACCACACTCTAACCAACTGAGCTAACCGGCCAGCCCCATAATAACGTATTTTAGACTATCCAAAAATACCCAGCTGTTTATTCTTAACAGTTATAATTGTTAAGTCCAACTGACAGGAAAAACATCATAAACATTTTTAGATTAAATTCCGTCTTCAGATATGCTCTCATGTGCCTTCTGATGTCCATTATCATATGACTTTTTATCCCTTGGAAATGCTTCTATTTTCATAAATCAGCTCAAACTACTGATCAAAATAAGAGCTGAAATTCCAAAGGTGAAAAAATGTATTGTAGGTAGTAAAAGTACTAAAAATTTCTATAGGAAAAATAATCTTAAGGATTGTTTTTCTGTTGCCTCTGGGGAGGAAAATATAAAGACATTAACACTGCAAGCAGCAATACTATCAAATAGATACTTTTCATTTTTATTTATTTTTTATTTTATTTTTTAATTTTTTTGTCTTTTTTGTGACCGGTAAGGGGATCGCAACCCTTGGTGTGGTGTCGCCCACATCGTGCTCAGCCAGTGAGCACACCGGCCATTCCTATATAGGATCCAAACCCATGGCAGGAGCGTCGCTGCGCTCCCAGCGCCGCACTCTCCCGAGTGCGCCACAGGCTCAGCCCCAAATAGATACTTTTCAGTGATTAAATTGATCTCAAATTGGGAGTCTGGAGATGCAGCTGGCATCACTTTCAAATGAATATACACTTTTCAGAAAACCATATTATAGGGCCAGCCCGTGGCTCACTCGGGAGAGTGTGGTGCTGATAACACCAAGGCCACGGGTTCGGATCCTATATAGGGATGGCCGGTTGCTCACTGGCTGAGCGTGGTGCTGACAACCCCAAGGCAAGGGTTAAGATCCCCTTACCGGTCATCTTTAAAAAAAAAAAAAGAAAACCATATTATATGCTTGGCATGCTTTGTCATATCTTAATGAAATCCAAACACAGAATAAACTAATAAACTAATGGTTTCTGCTTTCATCATAGTTGCTGAGTTATAAAGGTGTGTGTTGGAGGGTGTTAAGGAACAAATTCGGTTTAAGAGAAACTTCTTCTTAATATGACCCCTAAGGAGCAAAGCTTCTAGGTATATTCCTGAAAAAAAATTTCCCCTTCCCCCCAATCCCTGCCCCCTGCCAAAAAACAACCACAGCCATTATAATTGTACTAGGGTTTTGGTGATTTGGGGCAGAACTTAATGTGGAAAGTTAATGGCCTAAATAAAACCATCCCCTGCAATCTAACTTACCTGCTTTATATGAAGAACGCACCAACGGGCCACTTGCGGTATAATGAAATCCAAGTTCATTTCCTACTTTTTCCCAGTATTTGAACTTTTCAGGAGTAATATATTCTTCAACCTAGATTTAAACAATTACTTCTGATCAGATTCTACAATTCCCTTAAATAAAATTTTCTTTTCATCTTTTTTTTTTTGGCACTTGGCTGGTACTGGGCTCTGAACCTGTGACCTTGGGGTTATTAGGCTGCACTCTAACCATCTGAGCTAACCAGTAGCCTTTCCTTTAAATAATTTTGATTCTATAGAAAGTCTATATTCATGTATTCAGAATGGTTTTCACTTCATAATTTATACAGGTCCCTCCCAAGCTTTCCTCCTCACTAACTACATGTTTACTGGTTAATTTGTTGGCCACTCTATCAGAATGTAATTACAGAGAATTAGGGAGGCGGGGAAACATATAAATTTTGTACTGCATTAGCTATTCTGAAGGACAGACAAAAAAGATGCGATTATCTATAGAGATTATTTATCTACATTTTTCTTCATTGATTAACAGGCATAATCAAGAATTAGTCATGCCTATGACATCCTTGAGGACAAGACTGTTTCCCTCATCTTGTATCTTCTGCTTAGCATTGTGACTGGCACATGGTCACTACTCGACTCGAGTTTCCTGATTGAACAGATAAGTTCTATTCTAGAAATAGAAAGACAGGCTTCTCGTTCTTACTTCACCTCTGGCTCTCACATAACTCTAAAACAAGACTGACGATCACCAAGTGTGAACGAGTGCAATTTCTCAACTTTTTAATTCTTTTTTTATGAGTTCACTTGAGAGTTGTACAATTTGGGGAGCAACAAACAAGTGCCAGTGTAGCTGCTTTATGTAGATAATAAAACAAACTGGGACTTATATAAATGGAACATTATACTAAAAAACCATCAGTTTCTTTTTTTTTTTTCTTTTTTTTTAAAAAAGATGACCAGTAAGGGGATCTCAACCCTTGGCTTGGTGTTGTCAGCACCACGCTCAGCCAGTGAGCAAACCGGCCATCCCTATATAGGATCCGAACCCGTGGCCTTGGTGTTATCAGCACCGCACTCTACCGAGTGAGCCACGGGCCGGCCTAGTTTCTTTATTTTACCTGTGGATAACAAAGATTTACTTTAAATTATCAAAAAAGTTTGGCAATTCAAGATATCTGTACCTTAAGGTGGCGCTTTGTTGGCTGCATATATTGTCCTAAAGTCAAACAGTCCACGTCTGCCTCACGAAGTGCTGTAGGAAAAAAGCACAAATTACATTAGGGGATGTTTTCCCAATGTTAAAATTGTAGATCTAAACATTATTTTCCTGGGGAATATTTCAGAACAGTGTGAGCCATATGCCAGTGTATAATCTTCATGTTGAGGAATAAGACTATACTTATTAATTCAAAAGTATTTAGTGGGTGGACTATGGTTAGGGTTGAAAATATAGGAATGATTAAGGTAATCATGTGGGGCTGATAGATATAAAGATAAATACCTCTAATACCACAGAATAAATGCTGAGTGGAGGGTGCTTTAGGGCAGGAGTCTGTTGGGCAGAGAAGGTGAAGGGACCAATATACGCAAAAGCCTGAAAACATCCATATTAGATTATGTATCTTTTTTTTTTTTGTGGCAGCTGGCTGGTATAGGGATCCGAACCTGTGACTTTGGGGTTATAAGGCTGCACTATAACCAACTGAGATAATTGGCCAAGCCTAATCCATATCAGAGACCAGACATGCTGTATTAGGCTTTTATTCAATGTACAAAGTATGCTTTGGGGAATGTGAATTGATTCCTGACATATTAGAATCTTTCTAATAAAAAGCTGTATGCATTGTGGTAAAGAGCAGCTTTTAATTACTATTTGAACTTCTTAGTCCTTAAACCACTAAATAACTGCAAGTAGGCCAAGGGCCCTCAGGTAAAATAAAAACTTTTATATTCAAAGTTTAAAAAGCCCAAGAATCACAAAGCAAATGGGTTCACAGGACTAAGGTTCAGCAAAATCCTAAGCACACCATGTTTTGTGACAATTCTACAAGTAAGCTCTTCCTCGAAGGCCTTATTGGATTGGTCTTATTTGTCTATGAATTGTCAGTGCCTAGTACTTGGCTGACTTTCAAAAACTGTCCAATAACAGGATAAGAAAGATGAACAAAATCATGTTTTTATTGGATGAAAGGCAGGTGAATAAAATGGGATACAAATCTCATATCCTGAGCTTCGTTCATATCATCCCATAAAGTTCTAAGAAAACATACTTTCTTTCCTTTCTATGCTGCTGTTTACCACTACGTACTTTACTTTGTTCTTACTAGCAATTGCACTGAGACTACAGAGGAAGCACAAATTTAACAGGGCCTTAAAAATGGGGTTCCTGGGCCGGCCCGTGGCTCACTCGGGAGAGTGCGGTGCTGATAACACCAAGGCCTCGGGTTCGGATCCCGTATAGGGATGGCCGGTTTGCTCGCTGGCTGAGCGTGGTGCTGACAACACCAAGTCAAGGGTTAAGATCCCCTTACCGGTCATCTTTAAAAAAAAAAAAAAAAAAAAAATGGGGTTCCTGCTATTACTCATATGAAATAGGAAAGATTTTAAATTTTTCAATCTACCTTTCATTGTTGCATATACTTGTTCATCATTCTCGCCTAAACCCAACATTATAGATGTTTTAGAAATAACATCAGGCTGAACCTCCTTGGCATGTTTCAGTACACGCAGAGACTGGTTGAAATTGGCCCGGGGATCACGAACTTTCCTGAAAAACATCAGGGCTGTTGTCAGCTAGAATAACCATAAGTTCAACTAAATGCATAGTTATGCAAGCAACCTGAAAGACCAGAAAAGTACATTCTGGACATTATATTACATCATATGGTTCAATGGTAGCATTTGCACTCAAATCCCTGTTAATTTAGAAAGGAAAACAAGGCCTTAGTGGGATCCCAAGCACTGTCTACTTTTAAGCCCTCTCAAGCATGGAGCAGAGAAATCTAGAATGGAAGAAATCACTTCGGTTAATGCACTGAGAAACCAGAATTCTGAAGCTAAAAATTAATGATTATAAGGTGTAGTCAAAAGAGAAGGGAAAGAGCAGAATAAGATCATCTTCATACTGAAGAAAGAAAAAGCTATTTAACCTGAACCCACACTTTAGAGGGTTGAAAGTTTTATGTTCATTTATTTCTCAAGACTAAGCTGCCCTCTGTTGGTGAGTATGCAACATTGCCATGTTGTAGGTAAAGAAATACACAATTCTGGAATTTTCACCGGAAAGGATAATGTTTCTCAAGTGAAATCAGGGAAACTGGCACCCACTGGTGGTGGTATCATTACAGGGTTGAAACAGGCTGTGTGCTAGAATTCAGCAATGGCCAGAACACCATGACTTAAATGGTGACAAAGCCAAAAGGCCAGAAAGTTGCTGATGGTAAACCAGCATTCATTTGAATTCTAATGCAGCTTTAAACATGTAATTGATTTGAACACCAAGGTCTAGGGTTTGATCCCTGTACTGACCAGCCACCAAACAAAATAAAACATGGCCCACCACAGCCACCACAATGTCTACGGCTGCTGCAAAAGTGGCTAGATGCGGGCCGGCCCGTGGCTTACTTGGGAGAGTGCGGTGCTGATAACAACAAGGCCCCGGGTTCAGATCCCATATAGGGATGGCCGGTTAGCTCACTGGGTGAGCGTGGTGCTGACAACACCAAGTCAAGGGTTAAGATCCCCTTACTGGTCATCTTTAAAAAAAAAAAAAAAAAAGTGGCTAGATGCCACAACCACCACGCAGATGGCCTGCCAGACACTCGAGTGCATTGACACAGGAGAGTCATGAGCGGAGACCAGAGAAGAGTATGTCTCTCTCCACAAAGCCCACTCCAGAGTGACAGAGAAGCACCTGCTCTCCAATAATAGTGGGGGACCTGAACAAACCTCTCAGCACTGGACTGATCATCTAGGCAACAAATTAACAGAGTAACTGTTACTCTTTCAGAAGGAGAGAAGAAATCTAGGGTTATCAGAGGTGGGGGGGGATGGGGAGAAATTGGATAAGGGGCATAAAGAATAAGTACGATTTGTAATAATATATATGCTAATAATATTGATTTGATCAACATACGTCAGTGTTGAATCCCAAAAATACGTATAATCAATTATGATTCAACTAAAAAAAAAAAAACAAAAAAAGTAATTGATTTTTTTAAAAATTAAGACACTAGTTCACAGGGAAGAGGGAAAACAGATTTACAAATTTAAAAATAACCAGAAAACTAACAATATAGAGTACTTTTTGAAAGGATTTCTCCACTGAAATTAAGTTGTGCTCCTTAATTTTTATGATTTAGGGGAAGGGCTGGTTATTTAATATAACTTCTTCCAGGTCCTTTGACACAGAACAATGTGTAGAAGCTAATAAAATCATTGCCAAATACTTTACTAAAATTAAAGAAAGTGAAAAATATTAATCTTGCCTGAATTTTAAAATAATTTTCATTTTTCTGAAATTTGAATATTGTCACTGCATGGAATAACAATCCTTAGTAATTTCTAACTACTAAAATTATTAGGAAGAGTAAGGAAGCACAGTCTCTACTTTTTTGTTATTGTTGTTGCTGTCCACTTATTTTTTGGTGGCTGGTCAGTATGGGGACCCAAATCCTTGACCTTGGTGTTATAACACCCAGTCTAACCAACTGAGCTAAGCAGCCAGTCCACTATCTACTTTTTAAGACAGATTTAAGGCACATCGGGATACCAGTTCTTCTTCTGCACTATTTATTGCAATTATTAGTGCCAAATGTATTTTTTAAAGACTTTTCTTTAAAATTACAGCCAATGCAAATTGCTTGTAATTTTTTCCCCTCTGAAAACTGTTCTTTGAAAAAAATCACACTCAATGGCATTTGTGATGTGATACTATTTTAAAAAGAGAAAAAAAGATGCTCATTATGTATGTTTTTATCGAAACTCACATAGTAAATGTTAGTAATATCAGTTACTAATACTTTAGTGTATATATTATAAACACTGATATATTAGTAATTGATATTACTAGGTGGAAATATTGTGGGAGATATTTACACTCTTTTTATTGGCTCTATTTTCTGATTTTTCTGTAATAGACATACACGGGTTTGTTTAAAAAAGAGAGATAGAAAGGAAGAAAGAGAGTTTACTTTGTAAAAGTCAACAGCAAAGTTCACCCCTAAAAAAATGTGAGAATATATATAGCATATTATGACCCTCCTAACTCTCCAACATTATTCTGTACATGTAATCACCTCTGTAATTCTGGAACTGTTTCTACATTATGTGCATATACATCTAATCCTGACAGAGCAACTTTTTCTATTGCCTTAAGATCTCCTCGGAAATCAGGGGTGAGACATTCCACAAGGATTTTTGGATTCCTAGGGGGAAAAAAGATAAGTATTAAAGTGAGGTAAAGAATTGATATAACTTGCTCAAAATAGAAATTATCCATACTCATTCAGTATCAGTTTCAACACCGTAATCTTTAGAACTTTGCCAAGACAAGGAAAATAACTTGAATTTAATGAAGACAACAACAAACCAAACCAAAACTTTCAGTATGCAGTTAAACCGTAGAAATGCCAACAGCCTTGACACATGCAGACTTAAATTTATATATTTGAAAATCAGAGAAGCTTAGAATTAAACATTATATCAAGAAGTTAAAAAAAAAAAAAAAAAAAAAAAAAACCAAACAAACCCCTCAAACCATCAAATACTATGTACATAGTGGTTAAAACACATCCGCAGGCAAATAGCAATTAGAATAAAATTTGAGATTATATCGACTTTTAAACCTAATTTGAGTAGGTTTTAGAAACATAATATTGTTTAAAAGAATTAAAATATAAAATATTTTATACATTGAATACAAAATACTTTTTTTACTCTTTGGAAAATGAATTGGGTCATTTCTTATGTGAATAAAAATATTATTTGATTGCTTTAACTTTGATTTCTTTTAAAATTCATTAAATAGTTGCCTCCTCTCTTTCTTTAGGCAAATGTTTCACAAGTGCTATGGGTTTAAAAACTAATTTCTGGGTTGCTGAGTCATGAGCTTTGTTTAAATGAAGTGCAAGCTAATCATTAATCTTCCTATTTATATTGTGGATATATCTATTCATTCGAGCATTATAATGTGAACTAGGGCACAGATCTGTTCCCTTTGACACCAGAAGAAATGATTCGGATAGCTGATAAATTTTTTCACAAACACAATGGCAAAGTGTCTGGAGCTATTCCCTGAGAAAACATGTAGAAAAGAACACATATATACTTTCTCCTGAATCTAAAAGATGCTGAAAGAACACAGCCTATAACTCACTAGTTTTTTAACAACAAGTTGAGACTCATTGAGCCTTGTGAAATAATTTTAGTGGCTTGCAAATAGATTTTTTTAAAAATGAACTATAATAGAAAATAGGAAATATTGGTGAATAACTAAAAAAACCCATTTACTTAGTATGCTTGGTGTTAGACTACCACTGAGTTGTAGGAGGTGAGTGTAGCTCCTCTTTTTTTTTCTTTTTTCCTAAAAAGACTGGTAAGGGGATCTTAACCCTTGACTTGTTGTCAGCACCACGCTCTCCCAAGTGAGCCACGGGCCGGCCTTTCTTTTTTATGCTTTTTAAAATGCATGGGATTAAAACATTAATAAAATGTGGATTATGAGTAAAATTCCTAGAGTAAAATTCCCAGGACATCTGAATATGATAAAATCTGTATCAGGACTTACATATTGTAACAATGTTGAAGCTTATCTCAACCTAACTACTCCTAGGTAATTATTTATTCCAAATCAGTACTGAAAAGACTGCAGTTTTATGAAAATTATTCAAAGTTTAGACTGATGCTCAAATATGAAGAAGGCACCAAAGATTCATGGATAAGTTCATGCCACTGAACCCCTAAAATTTTCTGCAAATATGTATTTGTATGTGTGAATATACTTTTTCTGGAGAAATGATCACATAATTTCTAGCGGATTATCTGAAAGGTTTGAAACCCCCAAAAAGGTTAATAACCACTGCTTTAATGTAAAGACCTTACATAAACTGAATTTATATGGATCCAAAAAGGTCCTTAAGTTACACAAACAAATGAAAAAAGAAGTACCTTTCCTTTAAGTATGATACCGTCTTTGCAATGTGTTCAGCTCCCCCATCAGGCATATCTAGAAAGAAAATAATCTAATGCTCAATATGATGTCACAACTTAGTAAGAGCCAATTTCTGGTAGAGATCATGATGATAAACTAACCATCTCGATCCACAGATGTCAGGACAACATAATCCAGACCCCACTCTGCAATTGCCTTTGCAGTATTGTAGGGCTCATTGGCATCCAGTGGAGGTGGATTTCTTGCAGTCTTAACAGAACAAAATCTGCAACCTCTTGTACATGTGTCCCCCATCAACTGGAATAGAGAGGTTACAATTGAAATCAAAGGGACAGATGACCCTCAAGAACATAATATTGAGAGTATAAAGCAAGTTCTAAAGAATGTGTATAGTTTATAAGAAATTTATAAAATTCAAAACTAAAAGGAAATGATAAACTCAGAATTAAAAATAGTGTGAAGGGAAAGGGGATAGGATCAGGAAGGGACACACAATTTAAACTTAAAAATTCATATTGGCCAACTGCCAAAAATAAATAAATAAATAAATTTAAAAATTCAATTTGAAAATGGGCTCCTAATATACAGTTTGAGGTGTATACAGAGGGGTTCAAAGATATTGCTAATGTTCTACTCTCAAACTGTAGGTGAGTATCAGGGTGTCTATTGTATTGTTATTCTTTATAATCCACACACTGTTTATAAAGATTCTTTTGTATCCACTCAATGGTCAATAAATAAGATTTTAAAAGACATAAAATATTCAATTAACAGATCAATGTGCAGGTTTCTATGGGAGTCAAACAGAAGACACAGCTCCTTGTTGTTAAATAGTTGAAAGAGAAAATACATAAGAAGGTAAGCAATCATGAATAATATTTCCAAAAATTAATAGAAGCATTAGATTAAGGCATTACTTGATTAACTATCAGAGAGACGGAAGAACCAACAATAGATTTATTCAGAGAAGGATAAGATTACAGTAAGTTGATTATTGTCAGGTTTTTTCCTTCATATTTTTCATAAACTTATACGTAATGAAAAATATAACCAGAAATTCATAATGTACATTTTTAGGAAGAAGACACAGAATATTCCCTCTCAGTTTCTAGACTAAAG